ACTGCCCTGCAGCCTGGGGAGGAACATGCTGGAGCATATATCCACACCGCAGCCCGTGGGGGATCCCACACTGGAGCAGTGGATACGCTTTGAAGGAAGCTGAAGTGCGTGGAGGATCCACGTTGGAGCAGGCTCCTGACAGTAGCTGTGGCCCATGGAGAGGGGCCCACACTGGAGCAGGGGAAACGTGTGTGGAGGAGGGAGCGGCGGAGGGGAGCTGTTACGGACTCGCCACAGCCCTCGTTCCCCACAAGCCCTGCACTCACTCTATTTTTAACAGGCAATGAATTTAATCAGTTTTCCCTAAGCTGAGTCTGTTTTACCTGTGGTGGTAATTGCCAAGTGACCTCCCTGTCTTTCTCTTGACCCACGAGCTTTTTAATTTTATTTTGTCCCCTGTTATGTTGAGGAGTGGAAGTGAGAGAGCGGCTGGGTGGGTGTCTGGCAGCTGGCCAAGGTCAGCCCACCACAACAGGATACAGTGAATAAGGAACTGAACTTCTGCTACAGTGCCAGGGACTCAAATACCTATCCTGACTGTTGCTCCGTGACTCGCAGGGACAATGGTTATAGATACTGATAGAACCGCAATCTGTATTTTTAAAAGATGCTGAAAAAAACTAGGAAATTATGGAGGGAAAGGGCAAGGGCCAAAGGAACAGTTTGGATGAAGAATTCTCTCTGTAGTGCCAGGCTTGAACAATAAAGAATGATCTTTAATTGAGAAGAAAACTATGATGGTGTGTGGGGCCAGTACTGTTTAATATCTTCATCAATGACATAAACAGGGGGATTGAGTGCACCCTCAGGATGTTTGCAGATGACACCAAGCTGAGTGGTGTGGTTGACATGCCTGAAGGGCGGGATGCCACCCAGAAGGTCCTGGACAAGCTCAAGAAGTGGACCTGTGTGATCCTCATGAGGTTCAACAAGGCCAAGTGCAGGGTCCTGCACGTGGGCCAGGGCAATCCTCAGTATCAGTACAGGCTGTGGAATGAAGAGATTGAAAACAGCCCTGCCCAGAAGGACTTAGAGGTAGTGGTGGGTGAAAAGCTGGACATGAGCCGGCAATGTGCGCTCAGCCCAGAAGGCCAACCATATCCTGGGCTGAATCCAGAGAAGCATGGCCAGCAGGTCGAGGGAGGTGATTCTGCCCCTCTCCTCTGGTGAGACCCCACCTGGAGTCCTGCGTCCAGCTCTGGAGCCCTCAGCACAGGAAAGACATGGACCTGTTGGAGTGGGTCCAGAGGAGGGCCACCAAAATGATCAGAGGGATGGAGCACCTCTCCTGTGAGGACAGGCTGAGAGAGTTGATGTTGTTCAGCCTGGAGAAGAGAAGGCTCCAGGGAGACGTTATTGCAGCCTGCCAGTACTTAAAGGGGGCTTCTAAGAAAGATGGGGACAAACGTTTTATCAGGGTCTGTTGGGATAGGACAAGGGGTAATGGCTTTAAACTAAAAGAGGGTAGATTTCAACAAGATCTAAGGAATAAATTTTTCACAATGAGGGTGGTGAAACCCTGGCACAGGCTGCCCAGAGAGGTGGTAGATGCCCCATCCGTGGAAACATTCCAGGTCAGGTTGGACGGGGCTCTGAGCAACCTGATCTAGTTGAAGATGTCCCTGCTCACTGCAGGGGGGTTGGGCTAGATGGCCTTTAAAGGTCCCTTCTAACCCAAACCATTCTATGATTCTCTGATGGTACCTTCATACAAAGGAAACTGCATGCTAACTCAGAGCTGTGAGAAACCATAGCTGAAAGCCCAAATGGACTCACTCAATTGAGAAATAAGGCACGTGCTTCAATGGAAAGTAATCAACTGTCAAAAGAAAAAAAATAAGAAGCAAAGGATTCTAGATGTGCGCGTGTCTTCAGATCAAGACTGGATATCCGTCTGCTAGGTTGTGTGCAACTCTTCCCCCATTAGGCTGGGGAAAGGGAAATTAATTCTTTGGGGATGAACAAAGGAGGTCTGTGCGCATGAGCAAGATAAATAGCAAGATTAGACTAAAAGGAGTGAAGCAAGACTAGTTTGTATCAGTTAAAGAACATTATGCTCTTAAACACTTGTTTCTAAATATTGTTGATGGGGAGAGGGGCTCAGTTCTTGTTCCTAGCCTTTGTAGCAATTCTACAGTTGGCTGACGTGGATGGAGGAAATGCACAGCGTTAAGGAGTGTCCATGCTGTCTTCAAAACTGGTCCTAAACCCAAGGGAACTTGAGATGCTTTTGGAAAAAAAAAAGTTAATGTAAACCTGTGTGAAGAACTGTATTTAGCTGTTCTTAAGCACTTCTTAGACTTATAGCCTGCTATGGAATAACCAGAATAACTGTGACTGACTCTTGGGCCTTGCAGGAACACTTTTGAATTGTGAGGGAACACAGTGGAGTCCTTTCCTGGGAGGAGAGCCACTCTTAAGAGAGGATGTATAGTGAGGTGCAGTGGGGGAGGAGATAGCTGGGTGAGGGTTGATGTAGGGCTAGTGGTTATTTCAGTTGTCCTCTCTGGAATTTCAGTATTCCTGATACAAGAGATATCCAAGAATGTATGGTGGTTTGTGGGGTTTTTTTCCTGCTTTATATAAAACTATAGAAATGTTGACTAATGTTTTCCTTCTCATTCCAACAAGAATTTGAGGTAACTGCCAATTACTGCACACATCTTTTTACCCCGTAGAAATTGTACATGGTATTCTTCAGTAAACATGCCTGCCTTGTAATAGGAATACAATGGAAAATACACTTATGGATTAATAGAAGTCTCCCCACTTAGAAACAGACTGAGACATTATCCCAGTATAAAACAAAGTCTACTGTTTATATAGAACTTCTCACATGTAAATATTATCATGCTACTGTAAAAGAGAAATATTACTATTTTTTACAGGTGCTAGGGCATGGAGAGGAAAAGATGAAGTGTTCAAGGCCAACCACATGGCCAGCCTTGGTATTTAGTCCTGTGCTCTCTTTAGTAGATGATATCTAATCTGTCCAGTGTAAGGAGGTTTTGAAAGTACTGCTTGTAGCTGCTGAAGCACATATGAAATTACAAGTGTTTATTGCTGAGTTGTCTCTTTTTTCCTGTCCCCTTGCAGGTCATAAAGTGTCTGGAATTTCCATTGAAACGGATAACAAGAATGTAAAAGCAGAGGAGTTTAAGGGTACAGTATGGGCATTGCTGTGATTATTTTTAATATACACACAACACATGCAAGCTATGTGTGCAAAAGCTGTGCAGCTGTTGTCTTCCTCTTTTCTGAGGACTCCTGCTCCTACTCTCTCTCTTGACTCTGTGTAATCTTGGTCTTGGCCCCATTTTCTCTTACTTGGTGTGGAGTTGGACTAGATGCTCCCCAGGTGTCCTTTTCAACCTTACCTATTCTGTGACGTGTTTGTCAGTCCTGGTAGCTGACACTAACTTCTGCCTGGTTTCCTTCCACCTAAAATGCTGGGAACTGATAGAAACGAGAAGCATTAGTTATCTTACAAGACAAAGTGAGGAACTAGAGAGAGAACAACTGTAAGTCAGCTAATTGACAGTAACTATAATTTAATGGCTATTTTTAATTGTCAGTAACTATACTGGCTACTTACATATTTTAATATATTGTATAAATATATATATTATTTTATATGTTTTTTGTACATATATATATATGCCACATGTAAAATGACAAATTACTTCCAGTAACGTGCTGGAGAGGTTAAGGAGGCAGGGAAAAACCTGATGTTTGCTCAGTAGAGAGAAAGGGATCATAGCAGTGTGTGAGAGGTTTGTGGGTTATGTGGGGTTTTTTGTTTGTTTTTTTCTTTGCATTTAGTTGGAATGGAGAGAGATGGGAATTTGGGAATTGAAAGAACGGTTTGCTGAGATTTCGGCTTTATTCATTTGTTTGAGGTAATAATCAAATATTTTGGTGGTCTCTAAAGCTGTCAGCTGGGCTCCTGTCAAGTATTCTTGTCCCATTTGAGGAAGAAAAACTTAATACACTTAGAGCTCAGGACAGGCAAGAGGAGAGAGAAGCTTGATTCGCTTCTCTCTTTTTATATGATATACGGCTTGCACTTTGTTCTTTTGTTATTTGTATGATAGAGTGATATCAGTTTAACACAGCTCAGATGCCATGCTGAGTTCTTTTTGTGTAGCAGCACTAAGGGAATGTCAGGGGCTGATAGACATAGCTGTTCGACTGAATGTAGCTGATCTGAAATGCATTTTTATTTTCTCCTCCAACTGCTCTTACAGTAGAGGAGGGTGGTTCTTCACTGGAGCAGGCTCCCTAGGAAAGTGGTCACGGCACCGAGCCTGTCAGAGTTCAAGGAGCGTCTGGATGACACTCTTAGAGGTATGGTTTAGTTTTAGGTAGTCCTATGAGGAGCAGGGAGTTGGACTCGATGATCCGTATGAGTCCCTTCCAACTTGAGATATTCTATAATCAAATGATAGCCTCCAGACCAGATGTAAATCCAAATTAAACATTGTCCAGACCTCTCCAAGATCCCAGAAGGTTCTTCCAGGCCTGGCAGAGCCTGTGTTGACACACAGCATCCTGTGGGCCTACCTTAATGCAAGTCAAGTCGACCTTTTCTGGAAAATACCTCTCGCTGACTCTGTTAGTGTGGGGGGAAAAAACGTGAGCGGGGAACTGTAACTAAGGAGGATTTCATTATGTTGTCTCTGTTCTGCATGCACTCCCTTTCTTCCATTCTGGTCTCCGAGTAAGACTAGTGGGAGGGCATCAGTGCTAGCTTTTTCTGGAATGAAAAAGTGTGGCATACAAGAAGGGGGCAGCTCATTCAAGATGGAGGTGACTTGTTTGGCTGAGGACACTTCAACTGAGCTGTCTCTGTGTCAGCTAATATAGACCAACTCATGAGACCAGCCAGCTGTCACAAGGTCAGTAGCAAAAGCAAGCTGAGCTTGAATGATGGTTTTTCTTTGTTAGAAGAATAAAAAAAAATGGAAAGGAAACTTTAGCAAATCTTAAGGTTCAGGAAGCCTCCACCCATCCACTCAACCTGAAGTCAGGAACCTCGGGCTTCCTGAGTGCACAGCATGTTTTTCGAAGCGGCCAGTGCATGTGTAACATGTTTCTGGCAAAGAATGCCCTCCTGCCTCAATTTTTCTTTCAAGTCTGGACATTTTTTCCTCTGTGAGAGATCACCAAGGCTACCAGTCTGGCCCCTTGGAAGCTTTTTGTTTCTCTACAGAACAGACCTGGGAAATCAGACTCTAAAGAGTGAGCGGGTAGATCTGTCAGTAGCTCTTAATTGCCCTTCAGCCTTATTTGCTGAGACTGGAAACAAGGGTGCTGGTTAATGTAGGTTGAGTAGTGGATATTTGTCTCCTGAAACTAGACAGGCATTGCCAAAATTATAAAGGCCTTTGATCCATGATACTCTGGCCTATATTGGAAGACGAGCAGTTTAAAGGGGCAAGATCAGTATTGTATTTGTTTCTTTCACAGAAGTTTCTGGAAGACAATAAATTTTACTTTGTTAATAGAGTTGGAGCCAGTCAGATGTGTGGTTGGATTCTTTCCTCTGATACTGTCTCTCAACAATTCTTATTAATACCTTGACTTGAGAGTTATTTACTGGAGGGGAAAAAAAAAATTCCAGCATGCTGTTCCACAGACAGTGGAACTACTGAAACACTTAGTTTGTCCCAATAACTCACCTATACAGTTTGTCTTGTTTTCTCTCCCTCTTCAGTTCCCCCCATAACAACTACAGACTTGACCATAGACTACAATTACTATGATACAAGCTATATATATTAGTGATGGGAGGAAAAAAGAATGGTTGAGTTCCCAGTATGACCTGTTCCTTATTAGGAGCACTAATTTTGGTTTGTTTTCTACCCAGTTATGGCAACTTTAGCAGAATTCAGTAACTCTTGAAAGCTCAGCTTCTGCGTGAAACTTGGTTGGTGATCCCTGCTATACATAAGTCAGGGAAACTTGAGTGGACAGACAGAAAAGTGAACCTTCTTTTCTTGAGAACCCAAGAAAAATAAGAGGTAACAGCCAAGGTGTGTTATGAGCAGCAGCTGCCTCCAGCAGCTCCGGGGCCTGGGGGTTCCTCCTGTGTGGCCACTGGAACCCAGCCCAGTGTGCCTGGAGACCTGAATCTTTGTCCCAGGCTGGTGGACACAGCTGCTGCTTTCCCATTTCCAAGTTCGACCAGTAGCAAGGCAGTGTGTGTATCCCAGAGGCGTGCATGCAGGTGCACACCCACACATACAGACACACATTACACTGACACCGCCAGCCCTCCTCAGACAAGATGCTGCCTTCAACAGCACCCACGTATAACACTGCCTGGGCTCACATAAAGCGTTCAGCGTAGACAGCCAAGCTGCCTTCCTCCTGTCTGGCTGGTAGAGGTTGGAGGTCAATGGTGAAAGCCCTCACATGACACTTTCTAGACTCAGGAGCACACACACATTCATGGATCCCCAGAGTACCAGCGCAGCCCCTCTGCCCACTCACTGCCCCTGCCTTGACCCTGGGCTTCCTGCTCACTAGGTCACCCAGCTTGAGGTTTGCTAGTGAATTGTACACGCCTCCGGGCACACCAGGTTTGGGGAAAATGCAAACACTCCACACACACACCTCCAGCAGCCAGCACCATAAGCCCAGGGGTGCCTGCACCTCCAGTGTGACCCCCCGTTGCTGGCCTTAAATTCACTTAAGCCACCCCTCTCTGCCCCAATAGCTGGCATTCCAGGCACACGTGCTTCGAGATTCACCAAGATCTGTGCCCCCTCCATTGACACAGAGACCCGCCTCATTCATGCCAGTCGCCGACACCACAGACCCATCAGTTTGGTGACTGATGGTCTTTGTCACTGACTCTGTTAGTCCTTGTCTGTCATGTTTGTGTTGCTGTGTTTTTGTGCATCAGTGCCCCCTTTACCTATTATCACCTTTGCATCGAAAAGGTCCTTGATTGGGTAACATTAATGAAGCAGATTCTCACCTTCCACATACCCTTATGGTAACCAATGTGAAATTGTAATTAAGTTACTTAGGAGAACATTTAACCATCTTACTGGTATTTTTCCCATGTGCTTTAAGTTATAAATTTAAACAGTTAAACTACTGATACTGAATTCAGAATGTCAGTTCACAAAATACTGATTTTAACAGGGTCAGAGTCTGCTCACTGATGAAAATACTTAAAATGGAGGTAGTAATACAGAATCTGTGCCCATCCAACATGGGAATATCTGGTCCCCAACATCTGAAGTTTGATCCAAAAGCCACTGAAGTATGGTAAAATTACTGGTTGCTGTTTCCCCATTGTGTTTATGTAAACCTGGAGAAGCTCTGATGGCATTACTTTGAGAAGTAGATCTGGCCCTTGCTGACTGCTCAAATTTTTTTGAAGGGGGAATATTAATTTCAGGGAGCCTGAATGTGTACCAAACAATGCTAAAAGCTCTACTTTTCCTTTTTGCCCTCTTTTTTTTTTTTCTCCCCTCTAGAGGCTATTCTTAGTTGCAAGCACAAATTTTCAAAAGGAATGAGCTTAAGAATAGAATGGAAGAAAATCCAGTCTCAAGGAGTCTCATTTGTCTACTACAATGGTGAATTTACAGGTACAGTACTCCAAACTTAGATTGATGGTTTAATGTGTCATTCTCTAGAATAGATATTGACTCTTTCTTCGGGGAGTATGTTAGGAAAATTACTGAAAGAGAGTGACTCTCTTGAGACTCTATACTGAGCAGCTGTCCTTTTGAGGAAAAGAATGCTTCCCCAAGGGGGGAAAAAAGGCATTTTGTAATAAAATCGATTAGTTATCTTTTTAATGAAGTTAAATATAATAAAACCCAAGACTAAGAAAAATGGCATTATGCATTCCTTGACATTTTTTTAAAATGAAATTACGTTCAAATATAAGCTCCCCAAAACTACAGCAAGTTCTGCACTCCTAGCCTACAAAGAGGCTTCAGAAGCCTCCTGTAGAGCTGGAGGCTTAGATATGAATAATGCAGCAATTTTTATATACATAAAATATAAACTCAGCTGTGTTTTTTAAATTATTTGTGTTCTTTTCAGAAATGGAAGTTCTGTTTGTATGTTCTTATAAGGTCTTACCTCAGCTTTATGTATTGAAGAAAATATGTGTTTCTGGTACCTTGTACACATTAAATGAAAGTTGAGAAGTAAAAGAAGAGCACAAAAATTTTTTTGGTTTGTAGAGCTTGCAAGATGTGCTGGTCTTTCTGATGGACTTGGGTTTTTTTCCTGCATATATTTAATTTAGAGAGACACTGTAACTCCTGGTTCTGTGTGTGCAAGTAACTTTAGTTTCATGAGAAGCTGTAGAATGAACAAAACCTCATTGTAAGAAGTCTGATGGCAATATCTATGCTAAATCCATCAAGTTTTTCTTGCCAAATTAAAACATCAAATACTTTTGCTGTGGTATCGTGCAGAATTCTTTCTGTAAGGGAATTAAGTTAGTGATTGCCATCCTTCCAGTGGAAAATGATGTCTTCTTTTTGTCACCTGACTACTGCTACGCATGTTTTCTTGAAGAGTCTGCAGGAAAAAAAAGCATTCCATCTTCCAGCTAGAAAATGTATGATAGATGTAGAGATTTGAACTGAGTTTTTTTTTACTAAATAGACAAGTTGTGGAGGGTGCTTACTGTCTTGGGAGGGGGATTACATACTGCTCCTTGGTGATAGATAACTAACACTGCAATAGTTCATAAATTGTACGTGATTTCAGAGCAAGACAATGAGATGTAGATATTTGCTCTAAGCAAAGAGCAGAAACCTCTCCATCTGTTCTCCCTTAAAGGTGACCTTCGAGGCCGAGCAGAGATGCTGAATACAGGAATCCGTATTAGAAATGTCACTAGAAAGGATTCTGGGACCTACCGCTGTGAAATCAGTGCAAGGAGTGAAGAGGGGCAACGCCTGGGAGAGGCTACTATTACTCTCACAGTACTGGGTACAAACAAACTTTACTGCTTGAGCTTGTGTAAAGAAATTGAATGATGGCAAGGGGTGTTAAAGGTAGGGTTGTCCATATAGTGCGTGGCTGCTGGGTTTTTCATCTTTGGGCTGGGTTTATAAATACATGTGCACACACGCATTCTAGAACCTATTTCATGAAAGCTTTGCAAAAGGCATGCTTGCATTAGAAAGGAACATGACTAGTTTTCTTTTTTTATTGACATAAATGTGTAGTTCAGTTCTCAAAACTTAGCAAGTATACTCGTTTATGTGATGGTGCAAGTTCCATGTCTACCACTGAAGTGACTGAAAATCTGGATAAGCTGATCATTGTGTTTGGCACTGGAAAGTCAGCATCTGTCAACACTTATCAAGTATTCCAAAGTGGCAGTTCATTCCAATATGCTACAGTCTCCTCCTGGTTTTGGAAGGAGAAACTGCTGCAGTGTATGTGCAAAGCCAGCCAGCGAGCTTGCAATCTGTGGACTTTATTTACGGGAGAGATGATTTTGCGTTGGGGGGGGTGGTTGTTCTTTGTGGTTTTTTGTTTGTTTTCTTTCCCAGTTGGGGAAAGGAGGGAAAAGTGAATACTGAGCACATTCTTCTTACATTGTTTCTGGTATTTTTCCCAATGGATGAGTGTTAGAGGTTGGTAGTTTTCTTCTTTTCTCCATATAGAGAGAGAAAAGAAAATATTTGCTTTTGTAGTTTCTACACTGGTTTCTTCTATACAAAAATAATTGATCTTTTAAAATTATAAATAAAGTCTCTAGGTTCTTCATAAAGGATGATAAATTAATGAACTTCCGATTAGCTCCAACAATGCGGTAATGCCACTTTTTCCTTCTTTCTTCCGCTCTCTCAACAGATTTCCTCTTTTAAATGTGGCTTCCTAATGTAAAGTTGAAAGCTTAGAGCCCAAAGCAGAGAGTGTGTATGTGTGTTGCTCACCAACCTTTTTGAACATCAATTGGAATTAGTTAGTATTTAACTTGATTTTCTTTATTTTTACTTTTTTTTTTTAAAAGCAGTCAAGAAAAAAATATGAATACCAGTTAAGGTGTCACTCATGCTTTTAATGTACCATGAGTGCCTCTTCGCCCTTAGTTTTCTTCTATGTAGCTTCAAGTTACCGACAAAAACATTAAGTTTCTTTTCTGTTTACATAGAATAATTGGAAGAGATGTTCATCTTCATGGCAGATGGAATGATCAGTTCTCCTGCATCTGTATGTGGGAATGTTTGTTTTTAATTTAAGCTGAAATTTAGTAGGCAATTGTTTTTGGTCCTCAACCTGGGATTCACACAGTGTCTGTGATGATGGCCAGTCTTGGTAATTCTTTCTGACAACCATTTTTCAAAAAATGTTGACTTCTTTTAATACAAAATAACCTTTTTCCTCTTCATCACTTCTGTTTTTAAATACTGGAGAGGGGGGAATTTCTGGACTACAGATTCCCTGAGTTGTCCATCCTTTGTCTGAGAAAAAGAGGCCCCACATAAGAAATGGGGTGAAACTCTCTGGATTTGGGTAAGAGTGTACAGATTGGAGACAGGATGACACAGCATGTGGTGGGAAATGCTGGGAGCAAGCCTCTTTCTTCCATTTTTAGCAACTCATAAATTTTACTGTGCTCTCCAGTAGCAGGACTCTGCCTTCAACCCCTTCTCCAGCACCTCTTTTCATTAACATGGTAGTTGCTAAGCACGTACACAAGTGGCCACTCCTCACCAGTGACTGTCAAACTGTTGTCAGATAGACAATACTGATAAGACTGTGTAACAAGTGCAATTTCATTGTCCAGTTGCTCCAACTGCTCCGGTATGTGAGGTACCCAGCTCCGCAATGACGGGAACAGTAGTGGAACTGAGCTGTAAGGAGACTGAGGGATCTCCTCCATCTGAGTACCAGTGGTACAGGAATGGTGTTGCCTTACTGGAAAAGACAGGAGCAAGCAGTGCTAGAGCAGCAAACATAACTTACACCATGAATAAAAAGTCTGGCACTCTGGTAAGTGTAATAACCAGCTCTCTAATTGGCTAATAACCAGCTATCAGGACCACCCAATTTACTGTTTAGTACAATGATGCACAGGGGTCTTAATCCAAAAATGCACAAGGTCTTTGTTGGAGATGCCACAATAAGCGCTAACAAACCTATAAGGTGGTTTCTGCCTCAGACCAATGACAAGCTATCGCAAGTTGAGCAATACAGAAAAATTGGGTGAGTTGCAAGGCTGCAGTAATGATAAATGAGCAGAATCTAGAAAATAAATTACAAATTTCACCTTGCTGGTTAGCTAACCAGTGCCAGGTGAGAATAATCTCTCAATATGTCAACAGAGTTGTGTTTGGTAACACCTTAAAATGTGAAATAGCTGCTTCATACCCTCCAGTGGGAGTGCAGCACCAAGTGCAGTCCAGAATCTGTGCAATCCAGTGACATTTACAGGTTCCAGTCCAATACTTGTGAATTCATTGGGAATGAGTGAGTCGGGGCTGTAAGCAACCTTAGTGTGTTTTTTGTTTTAGTTTGTTGTTTTGTGGTTTGGTTCCCCCCCACACCCCCTCAGAACTGGCCATCTCTTTCTCATCCCTCCCCCATTAGCTGATCCTTCTAAAAAAATTGATACATACTACTTATGATGCATTGTCAGCTGAGAATTTTCAGAAGAGCAGAGCTGTTCTAGGGACACCCCACTTTTGTGCATGATCAAACCTGGAAACTGTGATGTGACTAAGTATTCAGAGGTGCTGTGGATCTTTCAGCACACTGTGGAAATTAGGTGGACTACTCAAAATTACCAATCATTTCTGAAAATCTTAGTTTTAAAGTATAGGATATATTAAGTGGGAAAAAAAGTTAACAGGTCTAATGATTAAAAAATAATAATAAATACAGAGAAACACAGGAACTGACATGAGGTCAGTCTCTGTCTGTCTCTTGCTTCCTTAATTTCATTTTTACAGCAATAGTATTTGGTAAATAGTGCATTTTAGCATTAGAAAGTGACCTTTCTTGGGAGGGTGGGGGAAAAGCCCAGAAAGTTTCCATGGGAAATATTTTTTGGTACTACATGATTTTCTTTTTCTGGGGGGGTGAAATGAGTAAAACTTTCTGATATCAGTGATTCTGAAATTAGAGCATGTCTAAAAAAGAACATGTTTTGTTGGAAAGTACTGATCCCCTGAAAAAAAATCGCCTTGTAAATACACTTCATCTAGTTAAAGTGTGCATCTAGAAGACCCTCGTAGACCAGAAGCTGAATTTAAGGACCAGGGGATCTGACTAGGGAGATGAATAATGAGGTCAAACTGGACCAGAATTTCTCACTTTCTTTTGGAGTTTTTTTATTTAAGAAAAATGATTAAACAAACCCTGTTGACATGTCAAAATTTCTATCCCACAGGAAGTTCTGATTTTTTTTTTTTTTTCCATACTGATAATGGTTTTGGACTGTGTCTTAACAGCTGTTTAACACAGTTACAAAGAATGACACTGGAGAGTACTTGTGCGAAGCCTCCAATGGGGTTGGATTACCTCGGAAGTGCTCAGCGAAGCGAATGCAAGTTGGTATGTGTCAAAGCAAATAAGGGTGGAAAACAGTCTTGCAGTAGGAATGATTTCATTACATGATGCAATTGAGAAGCTAAAACCAGATTGAATTGTATCTTTTTGTTTGATGGCATTTTGGGGGAGGAATATTATTATTATTATTATTATTATTATTATTATTAAAAAATCCTTCATATGCCCATGTTGGCAAAAAAAAAAATATATATATATATACTTCTGTAAACAGTTAACCACAACGAA